GGGCCCCTTCGCTTTGGCTCGAATAGATGGAGTGGTACTCAAAATCAATTCCTGCACGATTTGCCGGTACATCATTGAGATTTGAATCGATTGTTTGTCGAACCAAGCTCAAGGAAAACTTTGAAAGCTCGTTAAAATTAAACTAAGACAAACTTGAACAAATATGCGTTCAGTCGACCTAATTTGTGTGAACTCAATTCGTCCACACCATACCCTAATAATCCATATTTTTTTAAAGAATGAATAAAGAAAACAATACAATATAATTTTTCGAGGCTAAACATCATCAACAAGTTGATGAGTTTTATGATATCTCAACGTACGGATATGAAATAAATAAAATTAAATATCAGCCAAGTTGATCGCTCAATTGTTAAAAAAAATAAATTAAAAAAATTATAAGTTTACTTTTTTTTTTTTTTTGTTTGAAAAAAAAAGTTTACTTTTAATTTATATTTAATTACCAACTGACTGTACTATATATGTGAACAAATAATTCTAAAACAAAGAGGGGTGGGGGGGGTGGGGGTACGATTTAATCAATATAAAAATAAAGAACAAAAAAATAATAATTATATAAACATAAAAATAGGATATTAATTATCGAATGAATTTATTTAAATCGATCAAGAAGCACCGACTATGAAATGAATGCTACCATAACACAATTTTGGTTGGTCCACTAATACCATGTCACGTAGAGTGAGACAACCAAGAATTTATCTCTGCTAAAATTTACCGTTTTGCCCTTTGGCCATCTTATTTTTGTTCTTATTTTTAATATATATAAAGAAATGATGGTTGTCTTTAATTTACACTAATTAAGTAATTAATAATATTAAAATAAAGTCAATAATTAATTTATATCAATTTACATTAGTTGGAAACTATAATTATTAGGTGTTAGCCTTAATGACTTATATAGGAACCACTTAATATTGGAGGGGACTCAACCAAACATTCTTTTTTTATTAATATTAACAAAAAAATGAAATTTTTGGACAATTATATGTTCAAAATTCCACATTTAGCATCCATTGTCTTATATATAATCAAAATATAAAGTTCTTTTCATTATTTTAGAAGAGTCTACCTCTATTATAAACGATGAGAGAAGTGTCGATAAAGTATCAGCTGTCATGATTTAATTAGGTACGTAGAAGATTACACAAGCTAGTGGCGTATTAAATAAAATACAACTATTCTATTAAAATATTCAATCACCACATTGCTATCATAGTAGACTATATATATTATATGTCAAGTGTTAAAGGTGAAAAAAATGATAGAAAACTTAATAGGCATAAACTCATAATAAAGGTTAAAACCATGAAGTTGAAATTATTCATCAATAGGTTTTAAAAATATTTTAGAATCTCAAATATAAGATGGATAAAAGTTCGTTTTTTAATATTTCAGATATTTGTTTTTTTAATTTTTGCATAGTAATTAGTAAGAGAAGTGTCGGTAAAGTATCAGCTGTCATAATTTAACCGTGTCAGTAAAAGAGTACCCTAGTGGCTTCAAATAAAAACAAACTATTGTATTAAAATATTTAATTATGTAGTTGCTAGTATAGTAGTAGACTATGTCAAGAAGAGAAACACTTAATAGCCATAAACTCATAATAACGGTTAGAAACTATTTCAAATAATTTTATTTTCTTTTCAATTGGTTTAAAATATATATATTTAATAGCACAAACTACAAGGTAGATATTAGATGAAGTTCATTTTCACTATTTCAAAAAAAAAAAAAAAAAAAAACAAAGTCCTCTTTCTTTTTTACATAAGAATAAGAGAGTTGTCGGTAAAGTATCGTTTATTATGACTGTATCGTAAGAAGTTAATATTAGCTAGTGGCATATTAAATAAAATATATTTATTTGTATTAAATTATTGGATCATGCCATTTCTACTATGACAGACTATATACACGTCAAGTGGCAAGGT